TGGTTGTATGGTCATCAAAACTTTCTTTTTGTTACATTAAGGGTTGACTATACTAATGGTTCTCAAATTTTGCTTATTATTAAATTTTGTCAACTTTCTTTTGTTGTATTTTATCATCAATTTTTATTTTTTGTTGTACAAGTGGGACAATAAGCAAATATTGAAAACCTTAGTGCAATAGTGTAACAAAAGTAAAATGTGATGTTTAAATTGTCACGTGACTAACACTTTATTTGAAAGATCAAGCCAATGACCAACTAAACAATTTCTTTCAAAATAATACAAATTTCAACACGATCTGTCATTAACTCTACGAATCGAGAAAAAAGAAGGCCCTGGAGTGATCGCCTCTCCAAGGTCAAAAGGGAATAAGAGTCGATTTTCTAAGATCGCCATTTGCACGATTCATTCAAAAACGAGAGACGGAAGAAATAACAACATTCTATCATTTTTTTGCATTTTTCGTCTTTGATTATCTTATTGTACCAAATTAAAGATGAGTAATTTAGATGCACATTCGATCAAAGTTGAGTGACCCACGATGCATTTAATCAGTATGAACCATATAATGGATTCTAGCTCTTTGTGCACCTTGGGACCCAAAATTCCCCCAACTTGACATTTTGAGAGCTCTCATTTATGAGAAATAATTCACACGAGGCTCAAATTTCCACAATATTGATACCTTATTTAATTCTAAGGAATATGCTAGTTACATGATCTCTACATCCGAATCTATGCTCAATCCTCGAGCTCCATTGAGTTAAATATACATTAAAATTCACGTAAATGAGCATTGAGAATTTACTCCAAAGTCAAACAAGAAGTATAGTAATATATGATAGAAGCATATATCTTTGCATGGATTGTGGAGAATCGTTCTTATCTAATTGAATCTCTTAGCTAAATGGCGCAAAAATAATGGGATATCAAGAATTCCTAATGTTGGGATGTAAAGCACGTTCGACAGAGTTTTTTCTTTTTTTTATTTATTTAAGTTAATCAAGCATATATATTTTTTTTCATGTAAGACTCGCAAATTTCTTCTCAGAAAACGTAATTCCTTCCTCGAAAACTTCCACAAGCCCACTTGCATTTTCATGAGTCGCGTCAAGTCCAATCGACTACAATAATATACACCAATACACGCCAAAATGTAATTGTCACAATAATGGAAGTTCCATATTGGGGTGAGGCTGTATGGGAAGACTTTGTGACTTTGAATGTATTTGGACAGTTGCAACTAAAATTTGCAAGTAATTTTGGTCACATGTAACATGTTCTTTTTAGGCAATCACCCACTCTCAATTATTAGGTATGCCCTATGCCTCGATGGTCGAAACCTTTATTTATTCAACATGACAGCCACAGGCATATGAATTAAAAACCTCGTGTCCAATTTGTACTAATATGTCATTTATACCCTTCAAGGACCACACTATAAATGAGAAAAAAACAATAGAAAAAGAGAGTTCAATCCCCATTCCGCAGGTGTCCTTATGGGGGGGCAGGAATAAGGCCACTTGATGCATTATTGGACAAGGACATGGAAAAGAATGAGGTATTTAAATTAAAAAAAAAAAAAATTATACTAGACACTCAAATCAGGTCGATTAGTAAGTGATTGTCGGTACTTAAAAGTTGCGTTTAAAAATAGATAAATATAAGAGTCACAATTGTTGCTATGAACTCACAAAAAGTAGTGGGATCCGATCGTTGTAAGTACTTATGTGGATTGTGATTCAATAGTTCGATCATACTCTTCAATTATACAGAATATGCATCCTCAAAGAAGTTCTTGACCAAGTTAATCTCGTAAGCCACTTCCAAACTCGAGAAAGTGATCTCTAAAGAAATCTTACCAAATAAAATTAATTAATCTATAAAACATTCAATAGATTTGTGCAAAAGAATGCTCCAATGAGGAAAGGATTTTCCTTTTGTAGTTATGCCAACATCATCGACCATCTCAAAGTTACAAAAAGTTAACCATAATAATTAAATAACAACTATGTCTTTAATTGTTGTACTTTCTTTTATAACACCGCAATACATATGCCGTCGGCCGTCCTCTCACTTTTAGCACCGTTTAAGTATGTAACTATTTCTATATTCTTCCTTCTTTCTCAATATTTCCTTCCTAAATATTTTCGAAATTTTGCAGAGAAAATTGTTGAATGTCACTACACATTAATAAAATCCACAACAATGTCAGTTCACAACATGAATCTAAGTTTAGTTCCATCACTGCACATGAGACAATTTCGTTTCATGTATAAAATTTTGGCACATACTCAAATTTGATTTTCAAGTCCAAATTGAATAGGACCATGTCCACCGTATATTTTTGAGTGATCCGAACAATGTGAAAGTAGGGTATATGAGACATTTTTACTCTACGTGAACTTGTCACATCATAAACGTTTTTAATCAGTTATACATAGTACGCATTGGTCATCATATCTAAGAGAAATCGTAGTCTTGGATTGAATTTTTGATAGGAACGATTAATTGTACCACATTGATATCCATATAATATTACTGACACGACACAACTTGTATTTAAAAAGTACTTGAATTGATTACAATTTCCAATTGCAAAGGAAAGAAAGAAAACAAAAATCCATGTGGAAATAGGAAACGTGATGCAAGATCCTTCATTGGGAATATAGTTTTGATAATAATCTATGTATTTGTTGTCTAATTGTTCCCCATACATTTCAGTGACTTTTTAAAATAGATGCATGATATA